TATCTACACAATATACATAGACATAAAATGTAAAAACTTAAATATCTTAGAAATAGTAGCCAATCAGTTGTTTTAATTGTCATATTTGAATTCAGCACATCAAAATACATAATAAATAGCACATTTTATCTCTGAAGCAGACGACTTCTCAAAAATTGTAGACCAGTGTCATAGGTTAAATTGTGAAACATTACAGATATACAATGAATTACCTCAAACTGAAATGCTTAACTGCAAAAATTCAAACTAAATTCCAAGAGATCCCATTTCCAAAAGTGCTTGGAAAAGTGAAACAATTGGGTACCTACTTCAAGTTACCCTAAAGGATGCCTTCAAACTAAATATGACTAGCTATTATCCAAACCATTACAACAAATTTAGGGCACTGAAAAATTATACTGCTCCCCTTCCTTTGCAGATCAGTAGTTTTCAAAATGAAATGTTTTCACAGATTTCTGCTTCCCTTACAAATGTTTCCTTGTAATCTAAATACCATTTTTAGGGCACTGATTATATATATAATATGTACATATTTTAAAGATAGTGTTAGAGTATTAAGGGGCAATTTTTCACATTCATGCTGCCCAGTACAGCAGGCATAGAGGTCACTAGACCAAGAGCAAACATATGGCAAACAGAAAAACCAAGCAAAGAAACCTCTTAAACTATAAAATATGAACAAGCAGCACCCTACTTTCAGATATTACAGAAGCCACCTGCAATGCACTCATTCCAGAATTAAGTCTGTATAACGTTTAAAAATTCAGAACAAAAAAAAAAAAAGAAAAAAATCACACGCCAATCTGTATGGCATTTCTAACCTAGCGCTGCCTACCAATGATTTTGTTGCAGATGACTTTGCTACACTAATTTCAGCACTTAAATATTGTAGTTCAACTATGTTTTCTTATGTTACCTCCAAACATCCATTGATTTTCTTCCCAAATCTAAGTCTGCTTTGGGTAAATAAACTAAAGTTCCTGTGCTGTTATTTCATTCAAATATATGGCTGTCATTTAACAGAGTAACAGAAGTAAATATTTCTAAAGGCTCAAAATATATATGGTTTTCTTCAGTTATGCAATACCATGTGTGTAACCAATGTTACAACAGAACTTATGGTACTCATGGTATAAAGTCTTCTTCTGACATAGCAGTAAAATACTTTTTCACTTCTCGCGTAAAATCCTGGTCCTACTGAAATCAACTGGATTTTTTTGCCATTGATTTCTAGGGAGCCAGGATTTGGCCCATACAGTTTAAAATTTCTCAGATTTTTTATGACTGTTATTATTCAGGATTTTACAATTTTCCCATTTAAATTTAAGTTACATTTTCAATCTAGGACAAGGATTTTTAAGACAGGAGCAGGGTATAAGGGAATGGAGTACACACAGTTAATTACTTTTATTTCCAAAGAGTATGCTTTGTTTTTATGTTTTAAATAGTGCTTTTTAGCTCACTGTAACGGAGTGCACTCACCTCTCGTGAGCACCTCTTTGGCCAAGTGTGTGCGACCGCTCTCTCTCTGATTTTCCCTGCTCTG